ATCTTGGATGAATCACAAACGGAATTTTTCTCAACCACAAGATTATTGTTGTACAAAATATTTTTACCTTGCAATTCTTTGCTTGATGAGGTTAACTCTTTTCCATTAGAATCCTTATATCTGTGCTTATTTTCAAACTCCGCACCAGTCTGACAATCCCTTCTCTCCCTTACTCCACTTTTCCTGCTTATATCCCTTTGCCCATTACGCCTGTTACGATCGGTCTGGGTATCTTCCATATAGTTAGAAGTACGGTCACTGGGCCTAGAGCGATCATGAGGTGACCACTCAGAATAACTTGGACTTCTTCTATAATCATGGTGACGGCGGTCACGGGGAGACCTTTTACGAGCATGTGCAGACTTCTCAAAGATGTATGGCGATCTCTCCCGAGCATATGGTGATCTCTCCCGATGGACCGGACTTCTATCCCTGTGTTCATAGTACCTAGACCGGTCATGTGGGTCCCACTCAGTTCGTGCAGGGCTGTGTCCATGCCTGTCTGAAAAAGCCTTGGCAGGGAAAGATGCGTCTTGATGCTTTCTAGGATACTTATCGAGAGGTGAAGTTTTTGATGAATATGAATCTCTGTAGAGTCTCTCAGCAGAATGCCGTGAATAGTGGTCTGAGTGAAGAGAGCGGGAACAATCATCTGAAAGTTTTCTACATTTAGAGCTCCCATAATCCCCATAATCTGCATACGAGTGTTTGCGCTCAATGCTATCAGGTTCAGTTCCATGTCGCTTCAATCTGTTCACAGTAGAAGAGTACTCCTTTACAAGACTACTGGGATTGTTGTATTCATTCTTATGTAAATTTTCATCAATTACAATTTTTGAACTGATTCTCGTAGCCCTGTCATGTCCACTCCTGAACTCTCTCCGGTGGTAGATATCTTCATTTGCAAACCTTCCACCGGGCGGGGTACGCTCATATTCATATTCATATTTCCACGTTTTCTCTCTGTCTACTCCATTCCTACGAGCTCTGGTGTAATTATGATCATCTTTAACAGTATCCATTTTTTGCCATCTGTCTGGGATGAATTCCCCTTTTTCAATTTCATCACTGGGATCTCTCCATGATCTGAACTCTCTCTCTTCTTTATCTCCTTTCCAGTTCTTATCTGCGGAAAAATCCCTTCTCTCCCCATACCCTTTATGATATTTTAGATAACTGAACTCACCCTTCGTAGGTTCATCTTTCTTCCAACTCTCCCCAATAATCTCCCCCTTTTCAATCTCACTCCTCTGCAATGACTTTACTGGCGAGATTTCACCATTCTCCAAATCCCCAGGAGGCTTTAACGTACCTAACTCACCCTCTTCCACTTCATCCTTAAACCCAGAATCTCCACCGTTTTCCACTTCTTTATTCCCACTAGTTCCTCCTTTAAATTCACTCTTGTCCTCCTCAACTTTCGGCTGCAATTGTGATGACTCTGCAGGGAGTTGCACTACCTGCGGTTTCTGTTCTTTCGACTGCTCATCTGCTTGTTTCTGCGGCTGCTTCAGCCTCCTCTTAACAACTTTACGAATTACCTTAACAATTCTCTTCTTCTTAATTGGCTGAGACGCTGGAGGTTTATCAGCTGGCTGAGACGCTGAAGGTTTATCACTTGGCTGAGACTCCGGAACCTTACCTGAGATAGATGTATGGCCATTGTCCGAAGTAACAGTACTCTTGCTTTCATTGCCTCCACAAAGATTCGTCTTCTCCGCAATTGGAAGCTTTTCCATGATATTCAGTAGAGGCATGCATGCGACACCCCCATCGCTCATGGAAGCCCAATCCAATTTCTCTGTAACCCAACACTCCCCTAATTCTCCCCTTTCCCGGGGAAATCAATACTCATGCTTCGCTTCAGAACCCAACCGCCAAAGTTCGCCAATTTGGTCACACGCCGGACTAAATTCACCAACCCTGAAACACCAAAAACGCAATCAGTAGAAAAAACTAAATGTAGGGTTAGCTCCACCCAACGAAACAAAAGGGGGAAGAAATAACGAGGAAATCTCAAAACCCTACAGGACCAAATTGACGAAATAGAAGAGACGGGAGGAGACGACGCGGAGAAAAAGAAAACGAATTGAAGCAGAGATTGTTTACCGGGAAGAAAACGAAACCAAGAGAGAAACGGATCAAGAACCCTAGAATGGAGCTGGAAGAGAAACGAATGAACGTGAGAGAAGAAGGTGAAAATTTATCGAGCACGAAGAGGAATTAGATCGAGGTCAAAGAAGACAAATCGAGAAGAAAAGCTCTCACTAAATCTCTATCTCTGTATTGTTATCGTTTCGCCGGGAAATCTCTGTGCGCGGCGTTGTTGTTGTTGTATCTCTATGCGACCTTCGCTTCTCTTCTGTATCGTATGTGTTCTCTCTCTCTCTCTTTCTCCGTTATGTTTTTTTTTTTCCTCTGAAAGACGAAGCCGTCGTGTGTTAATACTTTTTTTTTTCTTGTACAAATTTACTTTTTACTTACTAGAAATTTCATTAACAAAAAAAAATTATTACCTTAGTTAATTTGAGATATGAATACATGACAGTAAGTTTTTTTGTCAAACAATAAGTAGAAAGAAATAATACTTGAGGGGAAAAAGTAATAATATTTTACAGTTTTGGATAGATTTATATCCTTTTTTCGCAACATGTTATTTATTTACGAAAATATCTAAATTACTAGATAAATTTACATTCTTACCTTATAAATTCGTGATATATTATCTTTAGAGATTTGATCAAATCCACACAAAAAAGTATGTTGACTAAAAATTATGATTTTTTATTAATATTATTAATAATTAGTAATGTTTATATTTTAAAGTTATTAAATTAAAGATAAATTTGGCACTGTGACACTTTTATTGATTATTTACATACTAATAATTTGAAAATATTAATTCATATTGTGAGGAAACTAACATTTTTTTGGCAAAGGATTTAATTACACTTTCATGGTGGAGGTATATCAATTTTTGTGTAACGATGTTCATATAGATAGGTAAATATATGTGTGTGTGTGTATACAATAGGTCCACAACTATAAGAACAAAATTTGCATTTAAAAATGTAACTTCTTTATTAAAAACATACTATCGATCAAAAACAAAGCTTTAAAAATTGCTAATTTTCATAATTTTTTAAGATAGTATGTAAATATTAACTCTAGTAAATTATTGTCAAACAATTGTTGATGTGGATCTGTTGGAGGAAAATTGAGATATGTGGAAGGTTTGGAACGAAGTTAAGGTGTTTGTCAAAATTATTTTACGCTTAAATTGGTACTTTTTATTATATGATAGAATGATGACATATTTAAAGTAAAAAAATTATGGACTTACCATTTTTATGGCTACTTTTTGACGCTAAGAAAAAAAAACTCTTTCAAAATAGGAGGGAACATTGTCAAAAAAACATAAATTGAATCATTTCTTCGATGAAAACAAATTATTCAAAAAATGTAAGAGATTTGTATATTAAGGAGAACTATTTTTTTCGTAATGATTAAATTTTAGGAACTAACTAAGTAAAGGGTTCAATGTAGACTAGAATATGTTAATACATACATATATAGATGAATATATGTTGTACATTGACATTAGTCCACAACTATAAGGATAAAACTTCTGTTGAATTTATTTACTTCACTACAAGAGAAACAAGACATAAAAATTAATACTTTTGTAAAAAAAAATTTGAGAAATAATATGTAGATAATAACTAAAGTAACTTAACGTGGAAAAAATTGTCGATGTGGATGTATTTGTTTGAGAAATAACATTTTACAAATAGTAGAGAGATACGTGGAAGGTTTGGAATAACGATGAGGTGTTTCCAAAAAATCTTTTACACGTAAATTGGTATTTTTAGTTATATAGTATAAACTATAAAATGATGACGGATTTAACAAAAAATATACGTCAAATCTTTCCGTTTTTGGTGGCAATATTTTCTGAGGATTAAAAAAATGAATTTTCTAATTCTTTGAAAAGAAGATAAAATTTTTTCAAAATGAAACGTCTTTGTAAAACGTAAAATGAATCATTATTCGACGAAATTGTTTATATTAATACTATATATATTTAATGAGTCATATATATATATATACACAAAACTTCCTCCATACTAAGTAAAACTAAATAATTTTCATATTGATTACAATTTAGGAATTAATTAATTTCTTCTGGTTTGTAAATGTCAACAATAATAAGAAAATAAAATTAAGAACCTAGTGAAATTTTTCGTTTGGCGCTCAAGGTATACGCTTGGAGCGGTAACATTTTCACTGTTCCGTTAACAAACAGAGACCTTGACCGTTAGTTAATCAACGTGGTGAAGTGAAGCGCTGCTTAAACTAAAGAGATTCTGATTCTTCTTCTTCTTTTTTTTTCTTTGTGCCATTTAATAACACAAGCCCGAAATAGACAAGTAACTTCAATCAATGAATGTTATGGGCTTTCTTACGGGCCCGTTGGTGATTACTCATGCTTTTATTGCATAAACCTCAGAAGTCTAAAAACTTTTAATTTAAGAAGCTGAGAAGAAAAAAAAAACAAATTTGTCCTAGAAAATATATAATAAAAATCCTAGAAACAAAATACAAAAAAGTTAATGTAAAAGAAAAAAATTATGTACAGTACTATAATTTTCACAAAATCTGGATGAATTTATGATTATTAAAACATATGGATATGATCAATAATACTGATGGATATGATGAAAAATAGATTTACAAACCTGAGCCAAGTGCCTCAAAAGTCCAAAGATCTGTAACTAGTTTTAGTTGGAGAAACAAAAGAAAGACCCATAATCATTTAGAGAATTTTGATAAAATTAATATGAATTAAAATGATGGATAAAACTGAAAATGAAAAGAATGAAAGTAATTAAATAATCATGAAATCTCGTTTTATTATTGCTTATCTTGTTTTGTTCCTCTAATAAGCATTTTATCAGTTTAACTTGAGATTTGCTTTTTGGAGAAAAGACAAAACAAGATTGCAGAATTAAAAGGTTTTGATTCGATTCATAACAAAATAAACCTAACGAAAATAAAGATCATCAATCACATGTATCATGTCATAACCAGAGTGGTAACTGTTACTGATACGATATCTTTTAATCCAAAGTAAAAGAAACGCGAATGAGGAACTACAACACAGAATGTTGGATAAAATACGCTATGACCAGTGTTTCAAGATTAGGAAGTTTCAGCAGCTGGTTGCGTCACACCATGCTTCACCAAGAGCTTAGTCAGCGAGTCAGGCGAGTGAACATGATACTTAACACTTCCTGATGGAGTCAGATACACCTCAGCAAGCTCGAGTTTCTCAGCTGTCAAGCTTGTGCTGTCCATCGTCTTGCTCAAAACCTTGATAGCGAGCTGAACCACCTCTTCTCTCGTTGCATCATCCTTGTAGTCTTGCTTAAGAATAGACTGAGCCGCTTGGTTATTTGCTCCAACGGCTGCAGCTTTCCATCCACCATAGTTTCCACTTGGGTCACTCATATACAGTTGAAACCCGTGGTTCTTGTCCCAGCCTGCGAAAAGAAAGGAAACTCCAAATGGGCGAAGACCTCCAAACTGCGTGTATCCTTGCTTGGTATCACATAGAGACTGAACCAGCTGCTCAACGGGCATTGGCTCTTGGTACATAAAAGTGTAACGCTGAGCTTGGACTCGAGCAGTATTGATCAGAATGTTGGCATCAGACATTATACCAGCCACAGCACAGGCCACATGGTCATCGATCTTGTACATTTTTTCCATTGATGAAGAGGTCTGAAGAAGTTTAGAAGTGACTTTCTTCTCCCCAACCAACACAACTCCATCTTTCGCCAAGATTCCAATAGCAGAACCAGCATTGCCAATAGCTTCCATAGCATATTCCACTTGGTACAAACGACCTTCTGGTGAGAAAATTGTAGTCCGACTATCATACCTCCGAGACATTTTTAAACAGCTGCACACCAAACAAAAGAAAGAAGCCCCCAATCAAACTATATCAGCGAAATTTTCAATCTTTATTCATTCCAAGATAATGGGTAGCTTCCAAAGAAAACTGAACAGCAATAAAACAGATCTAAGAGATACCAAGTTCACAAGTTCTCACAAAGCTGAGCCTAAGTCATTGTTCTGTGCAATTGATATTCTCAGAAAGGCATAACAATCTAAGCTATACATTTGACGTCATACAAAAATCTAAGTTACATATGAATCTCTGAACACTGATTAAATGAATAAAAATCTATTTCTCAGACTCCAATGGTCACAAATCAACCATTCAGCTACATTTGGACTTCTAGTGAACAAGAATACAAATTCACAGTGTATAAGAAACTATCAAAGGTTAAAGAAGACGAGAGCACAAAGAATCACGCATCAAAATACACATTACAATTCAGTGATTTCAAGTTAAATATTAAAAAAAAAAAACACAAAATTACATTGTACCAAAGAATCGCGTGAAGCTAGGGTTTATCTACGCCAAAAAAATATGATCAAATCAAAAGAATCGAACAAATCACTCAGATTTTACAGCAACGCACTCATGACTGAAGACAAACACAGATCCCACAAGTAAGAAAGACCATGTATTCGAAGATGGTACGATCATAAACAGTAGGAAGAAAGAACGAAATCGATTGAAGGAATGGTGAGTGAATAGATTACCTGAAGAGAAGTTTTAATCACAGTTCGTCTTCTTCTGGGTTCTCGATTCTTTGATTTTCGCTGAAGAAGCTTGGTGCTTCGATTAAACCAAAACTTGCGAACTTGTTGAACTTGTTTTACAAGAAAAATAAAAGAGAAACGAAACGAAAAAGAGATAAACTAATGGGCCTAATTAGGAATGGGCCAAAAAGCATCAAAGCGTTATATGCTAACGCTAAGTATGATTATACAATTACATGCCTCACCCAACTGAACATTTTGTGATTTGGTTATTTTTTGGATTGATATGGAAATCATCTATTTCATGGTGCCTTATTAGTTCATTTTAAAAAAAAATTGACTAGATTTTTTTTTCCCACATGCTTAGTGTTGACTATATGGTTAATTTGTCAATATATTGACATCACATTTACTAACACCTCAAAATGGATGGTATTCCACTACAAGAAAACATGCATATTTCCTACGAAAATTCCTACAAAATATTTGGAAGGAAATATTTCCTACCAAAATACTTCACATTTATTACAAAAACAACGACGCGAAGGAAAGCAGAAGGGAATTTACTACGGAAAAGCGTGTGTGAAAGTTGTAGGAAATTTTCCTACCAAATTCATACAAATATTACTTTCGTAGGAAATACTAGAAGGAAAGAGGGAAGAATAGTGTAGGAAAATACGCGGGTGGAAATTGGTAAGAAAATTTCCTACCAAATTCCTGCTGCTAAAGATTTGTAGGTAACGGCGAAGGAAAACGGAAGAGAAAGAGAAGGAAATGGTATTGTAGGAAAGTTGAAGGAAATTATTCGAAGGAAATATATAGGAAAACTTGTTTGAAAGATTTTGGTAGGAAAGTGGAAGGTTAGTTTTCGACGCTCAAGTTAGACACCCAAGTTGATAACAAGTTGGTAACAAGTTGGATAACAAGTTGTAACAAGTGGGTAAGTGTATAATTGAGTGGGATGGGTGGAACAGTGTTAAATTTGGTAGGAAAAGAGTAGGGAACATAAAATTTTCTCCCTATATAAAAACTCAACCGATTCATTTGGTTCTTCACACTCATCTCATTCTATACACATCTCTCTTAGACTCTCTCGTATAGACATCTATCTCTTCAAAAAAAAATATTTTTTTAAACACTTGGGATTTTTTTTTTTTTTTATAATTTATTGAAAGAGAAAAAAATTGTTTTTTCCATGAATGCATAGTTTTTATGTGTGATTGGTACGATCCATCTATCGGAAGGGGTGTTCGTGTTGACAAATTTGGAGTAACTGCCGTACGAACGTCAAGGAAACTTGATAGGTATGATCCTTTCATCCTATCATCACAAGGAAACCAAGTGTGTTACATTCCATATCCTCGCGTTACAAAAAAACAAGATTCGTGGGTTACGGTTACACAAATAAGCCCCAGAGGTAGCGTGCATGGTGTTATGGAGAACGGTCCTTTGCAACAGACATATGCAGGGAACATATCTTCTGTTGAACTTATACATGATGACACTTTCTCTGGCCAATTAGAGGAAGAGACCATAAGCGATGATATTTTGGATGTTATAGAAGAAGAGTTTGGAGAGTTTGAAGAAGAGTCAGAGCCTGCGTCTTCAGGATCAGACTCCGAGTCAGAGTAATTTTTCTATATTGTTGTTAAAATCAATTCCTAAATTGTTTCCGTATTTTTTTTTTTTAATTTATAAAGTTTTCTTTCATAATCTTTATAATTCCTAAATCTTTTTTTTCGGTTAACAAGAGTGACTAATGTCTTTCTCTTATTGTTTTGTTTGTATGTGTTAGACAAGTGAGTTAGGTGAGGAGCCTAATGTTCTACACTTTATGGAACAAACACACTTGGATAAGAAGACACGCACAATAAGTGACTTGAAGACAAAGCAGTATCTCGAGAAGGCTACAAGTGAGTTAGAGCTCCTCCAATCGCAACGCCAAACCGAAGGAGAAGACTCGGTTCAGTCTAATCCTCTTACACCTGAGGAGATTAACTCTGTTATGCGTAAAGTAAGTACGAATTATATTCCTCCCTTTAAGCTTTTCTTTTGCAAACTTTCAAACAACGATGAAGATTTTTGGTTTGTTTACTTGACAGGTTGTTCCAAAGGTTAGAGGAAAACGCTACGGCCTTGGTACTCTTTTGGATGAAGGATGCTCGTCTTCCTCGGGAACTCCG